TTTTGTTTTGTTTCAGCCATGTCTTCAAGGTGGTTAATTTCATGGCAAGAGCATCTAGAACAAGGGTGGGCAAAATAAGGCCTGCAGGCTGTATCCAGCCCGTGGAGGGGCTTTGTCTGGCCCACAGTAGTTCCCTTGGTCCTGCCTGGCCCAGGTGCCACCTGGCTGTGGTGCATCCTGCCACCCCTGGGCATGCAGTGGGGCTAGGGGCAGCTCCGCAACTGGACTGGCTTTCTAGGTAGCCCAGGCACTGGCAACTCCTTCTGGCTGACCGCTTCTTGAACACCTCCTGTGTTGGAGAGTCCACAGTTTCCCTAGGGAGTCTGGTCACTGCCTCTCTATTCTCATGGTGAAGATGGTTTCTCCAGGTATCCAATCTAAATTTATTTTGCTACAACTTCAAGCCATTAATCCACATCCTCCTCTGCAGCAAAAGAGAAAAAGCGCTTTCTCTCTTCTTTATGGCATCCATCCAAGTATTTGAAGACTGCTATCATGTCTCCTCAAGTGCCTTTTTCACAAGCTGAACTTTTCCTAGCTCCTTGAGCCTCTTCTCATATAACTTGTCTTCTAAGCCCTTGGTCATCTTTGTTGCCTGCCTCTGGACCCTCTCTTACTTCTCCATATCTTGTTTAAAATGTGGAGCCTAGAACTGCATACAGGACTCCAGATGAGGCCTAAGCAGTGCCAAGTAGAGTGGCACCATCACCTCCCATGCCTTGCATGCAATGTTTGTATTGATGCAGCCCAAAACCACATTCACTTTTTTGTGTGGCTACATCACACTGCAGACTTATATTGAGTCTGTGGTCTACCAGGACTCCCAAGCCCTTTTCCATAGAGCTGCCATGCAGCCAGGTGGCCCCCATTTTGTATTTGTGTTTTTGATTATTCCTCCCAAGGTGTAGCACCGTGCATTTGTCCTCATTGAACTTCATCCTGTTGGCTCTAGCTCAACTTTTTAATCTGTCAGGATCATGATGCATTAGAATTCCAGATCCTAAGACAGGGAAAGTATGAGGTCAGCAAAATGACAGTGCTGGATTTTAAAAAGACTGATTTCATCTGATTCAAGGAGCTGATAGGCATGATGCCATGAGAGGATATATTGAAGGATGAAGGTGCCCAGAAAGGCTGGGAACTTCTAATGGGCAAAGTTTTGGAAGCCCAACAAGAAACTGTTGCAGGATTATGGGAGCATAACAAGAAAGGCAAGAGATGAATGTGGTTGCACAAGGAGCTTTCAAAATGCCTCAAATGCAAAAGGAAAACATACAGGCAATGGAAGAATGGTCAGATCATCAAGGACATGTACCAACAAATAGTAAGAACCTGCAGGGACAAAGTCAGGAAAGCAAAGATAAAGAATGAGCTGCACCTGGCAAAGG